AAAAAAAAAACTATAGCCAAATAAAGAAAGAAATGCTCGCACTGATTTTCGCGGTCAAAAAGTTTCATAGGATGGTGCATGGAAGAAGGTTCACCTTGATAACCGATCATAGACCATTGTTGGCTATATTTAGAGTGTAGAAAGGTATCCTAGTGCATACGGCAAGCAGACTGCAAAGGTGGGCAACAATGCTGTTGGGATATGATTTCCAACTGGAGTACAAGGAGATCGAAAAATTTGGTCATTTCGACGTCTTGTCTCGTTTTATTAATGAAAATGAGAGTTCGATAGATGAAGATAATAGCGTCCACTTCAGAAGAAGCGGATATCCGGAATAAATTAGCTGCAACCGTACAAGATCTACCAGTGAATTTAGAAGCTCTGAAACGAGAAACTAAGCGTGATGAAAGATTAACAGAAGAGGAACTTTATCGATCAAAGATGGATTTGCAATGTACACATACCGATTAGTAGTGCCAGAACGATTAAAACGCTTGATTCTGAAGCAAGTATATACAGAACATTCAGGGATGTACCGGATGAAGTCGCTGGCCAGAACATATGTTTATTGGCAAAGGATGAACCGAATGGTAGAAGAGGGAGTACGCCAATGCAGCCGTTGCACGATGATAGCAAAATTACTAATCAAAAAAGAATTAGCACCTTGGCTAACACCAAAAGAGCCATGGTCGCGCATACATGCTGATTATGCTGGGTCAGTGAAGGGCAGTAGTAGTGGTGGATGGGCTGCTGAAATGGCCAGAAATCGCTATGACAAAATATACTACTAGCTTTGTCACCATAAGGCTGCAACAAATTTTCACAAGATTTGGTAACCCGGATGTGTTAGTATCCGATATGGAATGCAGTTTACTAGCGCGGAATTCAAGAAATTTTGCGAAAAATGCGAAATCAGGCACAAGCGAACTTCGGCATATCATCCACAGTCAAAAAGGTTAGCTGAGAGGTTCGTAGGCACGCTCAAAAGGATCCTAGCGAAGGTTGACAACGAGGGAACAGTGAGCAAAGATTTGACTGTTTTCTTGTAAACGTATCGCAGTATGCCAAACGCTGCAATGGAAAACAACAAATCACCCGCTGAAGTAATGCTTGGAAGGCGTATGAAGACGGTCTTCGATATTTTTATTCCAAAAAAAGACCGGATGGGCCAGCGATAAACATGGAAATAGTAGAATGGAACAACAGTTCAATGCACATCACAGTGCGGTGAAACGGCAGTTTCGGGCCAGGTGATCATGTTTATTGGAAAACCTACCACAAACCGCAGAAAAACTGGAAATCAGGGGAAGTGCTAAAACGGTTGGGAAAGGTGCTGCATGAAGTCAGCTGGCAAAACGGAACAATTAAACGACATGCGAATCAGCTAAGGGAATGTTTAGTTAGAAACGGTGAGGATACATCAGAGAATACGCTCGAAAGCCTGCCGGAAACGATTATTTTGGACGAATTCGCTGAATCAGGAAGATCAAAACAAGCGATAAGTAGATCAGATGAAAAAACCAACAGTAGGGCCAATTTGAACGAAGCAAACACTGGAGAACGGTATCAAATTACAGGATGTGATGACATCGCAATCAGACGATCGACACGAGCATGAGTCCCAGCAAAAAGACTTCCCATCGATCCACATGCGAAGACTTATGCCTACTCTTAATTGAGATTAAGTACTAAAAGAGAGAGCTTTTAGACAGTGCAAATGTATATGTGTAGAACTAGATCTATAGCAAGGCATACGCCAAGTTTCCGACTCTGGGTTGATATCTGTAATCTTGCCTGACAATGAGTTATGTTGTTGTTTTAGTGTTTGTTATAAAGTTCTCCTCTAACGAGGTTGTATCGCCACATCAGATCGGCCTCGCTCTCATTCATTAAGTGTCGTTTGTTGCTACACTCCGTTAATAAAACCTCCTTCGCCTCTTCATTTGGTCCAGACAATTTCAGGTGTCGAAAACAACGACATAACATTTGTGAATTAAGAACGCAAATATACAGAACCGCTGTTTTATACTGAATCCATTTTTAAACATTAGCAAGACAATATTTTGCACATAATCGAAATTAAAACATGTGTGATTTGTACATTTTATATTCTTTAGATGCAAATTTTTTAAAAAATCCCCGGAATCGATTTAAAAAAAATGCAATTGCTTGTCCTCTCTTCCTATTCAGTAACCGTAAAAAAGCCTTCAAAATTCATACCAAATGAAAATCCTTGGAAATTGTTCCCAGTAAAGATATCTTTAGAATTCGTCGTCTACACAAACCCCTTAAATTTATATCGAATAAAAATCTTCGAATTCCGTTTCAGAATCCGTTATAAGCCCTACCAAAAAGAACTTTGAAATGCAGCTTCTATAACTGATTCCATAGAAAGCGGTACTGCAACATTCATGTCGGTTAGCAATGCAATATCGCAGTCACGTGTAGGTAGTTGTTCTGCGTTTTATGTTCTGTCGACAAATATGGCAGCTTTTCAGCTTAGACGGTGAGCTGCATTCCGCACAGGCCATGTGCCCGCACTGGAACACAACACAACAACGTTGATCCATGCATATTGCACACGTTACCTCCAGCTCCAACTGTTCCAACTTACCGCGCAGCTCATCGACGAGTTTGCTTCCCTCTGCAAAGCGGACAGCAATTTCATCAATAATTAAACAAGTACAAATGGTACTTTGTGTGTGATGCAAAAAATGCTTCAACATTTTCAGAATCTATCGCTTTTACGGAATCATCGACGTCCTCAAAGCATCGCACTGAAAAAATCGTGCTCATTTCTTTAACGCCTTACTGCTAATAGCAATGAGATAAAGATACGAAACATGTCACTACTAAAGCAAAAGAGTGAATACTGGCTTCCACCGAGAGAAAGTAGGAACGAAAAATGCTTTTATTAAATCTTGTTCGTGACCATATGAACAATTATACCCTCCGTCAGATGAGCAATACGTAGAACGTCATCGCAAGGGAAAAAAAAAACTTCTGACGGGCAGGCTAAGCTGTATTCTTTGCTGTCAACTAGTAGATGTAGCGTATTGATGAGTGAAACCCGTGCGAAAGTAAACAACAATTGTGGAGGCCTCCGAATAGGCAATGTACATTGTCGAACACATAGTGGCTACTAAATGAAAGTTTCAGCTTAGGACTGAAGAGTGGAGCAAATCTGCGTCCAACTTATGGATGATGAAGGAAGGGAGAGGACAGCCTAATAACACCATCAATATTTGATCCTTTCATCGACTCTTCGGAGGGTTTTAGCGAAGAAGTAGGCCGGGTTATGGACCAAGATAATAGATATAACCATGTGGTACTATCTATGTTTCATTCTTTTGCCGTATGTACAAACAGAGGCGTGCATACGGTCAGGAGTGAAAGGCATTAATACAACCTGCTACTTTTTTATACAAAGTTCAAATGTTGCCTCCAATCTGTTTTCAGCTCTTGAAAGCAGACTCAAATAGTTCTAAATGGTGGATACAGAATGGAAAGAAGGTGATCTAAGCGTTCGAAATTATTGGCTTTTTTCCCCCACAGATAGTGGTATCGTGGTAATTTCATGTGCTCTCCGCTGACAGTTCGTGCGGTATGACAGGATAACGTAATAAAACTTGTCAGTTTAACAAAATAAACTCAAACGACCCACCTTCTTCGGCAGCTTTTTTTGCACGTTCAGCAGCATCCTGCGCAATTTTTTGGATATCCGCCTCATCCATTAGTTTCATCTTTTTGCCTTGACCACCGTCAGAACCATGCTGTGCATTAATACTGCCGAGTTCGACGTCTTCACCACCTCAAAGATTTTCTTCTCTGCCCTTACTTTTTAGCATGCTCCAAGATGCTCACCCAATCGTTTTCAAAAAAAAAAA